CTTGAATTTTTTCTTCAGTTCCCCCAGCTTGAGAAATACTGACCGTGTTCTTCCCTTTTGGTTTTCTAACTCCAAATCCCTGCACATTTTATTAAATCTTTACGGGAGCAGAAAGTCTCATCTTTCTCCCGTGGAACAGTTGGTAGTTTCCAACTGCTGACCCTGAGGTTAGCAGCTGGATTCGTAACCACTATGCACAGTAAAGCATACACCAAGAGTGGCTATACAATGTAGTGACGTTTGATTACGTTCAAGTTGTGCGACAATTCTCACGCTCCTTTTCTGAGTTGTTCCTCCTCCATTAACACAATCTCATTGCTCACTAAGGTTCTTTCAGGTTGTGATAGTCAATTTGATCCCACGTAGCTTTTCAAAGTTTTTTTTTTTTTTTTTTTAACCAATTAAGGTTAATTATTGTTTGGTTTTAAGAAGACTTGGGAATATTTTTGGTGTAAGGTTTAAAGACTATATTTGAACAATAGTTTCAGGGATTCATACAGCCAGACTCTGTGACTCCAGAATGTCTAGAGTCCATGAGAATTTTAAATTTTGCTCTGCATTCCCTCCACTTTTAACTAGGATGTTGCTGTTGTTATTATTAAATGCTTTCGAGTTGGTTCTGACTCATAGCGACCCTCTATAGGGTTTCCAAAGAGTGATTGGTAAGTTTGAACTGCTGATCTTGCAATTCAAATGACCTTGCAGTCGAGTGCTCATTCTACCCTGCCGCACCAGAACTCCTACGGAATCTTCTTTGAAATCTTTGATCAAAGCATTCAGTAATGACAGCCAGGTACCATTCAGTTCTCTTGGTCTCCGGACAAAGGAGACAGATGCTCATGGAGGCAATTAGCCACACATTCCCTGGATTCTTCCTATGCCTGAGTCTCCTCCTTCTGTTGATCCAGGTGAATGGAGACCAACTGTTGTAACTTGCATGGCCCTTTGCAAGCTTTTAAGAGGCCAAGCACTACTCAGTGAGCTATGAGGTAAAACTAAGGCATTCAAAGCATTAGTAGGCCAATTAACTGGTCTGTCTTATGAAACCATGACCTGAAGCTCCAAATGAAGAACCCAAATCCCCTGAGACTTTTTACTGTACTTATGCATCTCATCAGACCATTCCTTTGTATTGTTATTGTAGATATATCTATTATAAAACTTTTACCAATTGAATATTTATAGGTATGCAACTCATTGACTAACAGACTGCATAACCCTGACTTTGCCATTTCCCTTTTAAATGCAGTTAACAAATGTTACAGTTATGTGCCAACAAGCTCTCCTGTAAAATAATTTGAACAGGAAATCTGTGCACTTATGGTGTTGTAATGACATGAAATGTGTGTCATCCTGTTTTCACCCATTGGGAAGCCAATAAAAGTTCGTTTCTAAGGTGCCCATTCTTATAACTTCCCAAATGTGTTATTCTTCCTTGAGATGATGTTGTTGTTAAGTGCCGTTGAGTTGATTTCAACCCATAGCGACTCTGTATTGGGTTTCCAAGGAATAGCTTGTGAACTTGAACCACCAACCTTGCAGTTCAAACCACTTTGCAGTCTGACGAATTAGCCCACAGTGCCACACCAGGACTGGAGATAATATAGGAAGTGGGAAGTAAAAGAGGAAATAATAAAGAAAAAAAGTGGGGGAAAGCAGGAAAAAAGCAAGAAAAAGAATTTTTCAAAAAAGGAAAGGAGAAAAAAGAATTTACAATAAGCAAAACTAGAAAAGACAAAAATGGTAAAACAAAACAAAACAAAAAAAACAAACCTAAGAAAACATAAAAATTAGAAGGAAAAAGAAAATAGGAATGAGAAACTGAAGAAAATAAAGAAAAACAAAAAGAAGCAGTAAAAACAATAAAAGGGAACGAAAAGATAGAAAAAAATAAAGGAGAAAGTTGGGGAAGAGGCAGGACCCAGAAAGAAGCAAATTGGAGGGTCAGGGTACTCAGTATGGGTCAGTATGCTCATTCTGCCAACCAAGGATGTCATGGGATAGAGGGTGAAAACGAAGTAGTGGGTAGGACATCTGGTCTTAGATGGAGTTCTTGTAGGCCTAGATGTTGTCTGGAGTCAGGGCATCTGACTCAGAATATGATTAAGGTGCTTGGAAGAAAATCATCTGGGCCCAGAGTGTAGCTGCGATCAGGAAAATCACATAGTTATGGAGGAGTTATTGGCCCCTCAGAGGTGACCAGGACATGGAACTGCAAGTTCTGCTGCTCTGATGCCATAGAGTTTATGCTTCCTGACTGGGAGGAAGGTGTACTCAGCAGGTTCCAACCTCACATAGAGTTGGGGCTGTCCTGCATGGGGATGTCACCAGCCACTGGGTATTGGAGGTGGGGACTGGCCACACTTCTGGTCACTAGGAGGATGTGGGGGACAAGGATGATCCCACCTTTATCCTCTTCAGTCACAGGAGTGGCAT